AGGGGTCCAGGATTATCTTCTGTGTCTGTGTTAATTGGTTTCCCTTTTCTTTGTTGAAGAGGGTCTGTGCAGTCTTTCTGCCTAGTCCGCTATCTTGCCGGTCTCCCCAGGATCTCCAGTTTTGATCCCTTTCCGAGTTGTTGGCATTGGTAGGTGGGCAACATCTAGTTCTTCTGGTCACAGGGCACAGTAACTTTTTTAATACATACAGCTGAAATCTCAACTGATTAGTTAAAAACAGGTGAATCTAGATAAGTGGTATTCTGGTGATGTATGTATTATTTTTATTCTTGCAACTTTTTTTAAGTTTGAGATATTTTTTTCCAATTAACTGGTTTTTTTTTAACTACATCAGTTTTAAAAGTAGAATATATCTGTTATGAGAGTTGCCTCTGTAAAAAAATACATGTATATGTAATTTTTATTTGATATTCTTTGAATTCAGTAAACCAGTAAACAGATATATACTGAGTACCTAATATGGGCCAGACACTGTGGTAGACCCAGTGATGATTGAGACAGGCAAGGTCCCAACCCTCATGGTTTGACAAACCTCAAACACAAAAATTACATTAATAATCCTTTTCAACCTTTTAAAATAAGTATTATGGAGGAAAATATGCAACAAGAGCATAAACTAGAAAGACCTGAATTAATGTGTAGGGTCAGGGAAGATTTCCCTGAGCAAGTGATACTTAAGATAAGACCTGGGAGATGAGTTAGAGATATGGTGTGGTTGTGGGGAGGCAGAGGATTAATGAGGGAGTGAAGAGAAACAGGACCTTTTGTGGATGGAGGGATCAGCATGGGTGAGGGGCCAAGACAAGAAAATGTAGGCATAATTGAATAATTGGATTGAAAGGTCAGTGTGGATGAAACGTTGAAGGAGAGGGAGAACCCCATAATGGCTTAGCATCCTTGGACATGTAGAGTTCATAGACAGGAGTGCCCTCCCAAGGACTTACCACCTAGATCCAAAACCAAACCCATAGCCATCAAGTCAATTCTGACTCATAGCAACCCCCAATGGGTCTCTGAGGCAGTAAATCTTTATGGAAGCAGATTGCCCTGTCTTCCTTCTGCGGAGTGGCTGGTGGGTTTGAACCTTCTGGTTAGCAGTCAAATGCTTAGGCACTGTGCCACCAGAGCTAGGCAGATAAAAATGGAGCTCAAAGTCAAAGAAGCATAAAAATTCCTCAAGGAATGGTTGTAACTCTGAGGGGGGACAATAAAACCTTTTAATCATCACTTGCCTTTGAATTTATTTCAGTGACTTTTGAAAAACTTCATAAATGATGTAACTTCCTAAAGGTTATAAGGCTTATCAGTTTTTCCCAAAGGTGAGGACACAGTCACTCAGAATTATTGACATCATTAGAATTTCTCCATCAGAATAAACCTAATAAGATCTAGAAAAAGAATTTTTCTCTACTGAGAACACAAAGTTATAGAATATACTGCTGCAAAAAGGACAAGGAGGCCACATGTTCTGGCCTCCTAGAACCCCACAAGAGTAAGGCAGAATCACCATCAATAGCCCAAGGCCTATTACTGCAAGGCCAGACATGCTGCCTCCTTCCAGCCCTTTCACCAACCGTTCCTCCCAAAGCACCACCACCTCTCTCCTGGGTTCGCTAATTCACTGCAGTGACCACAGAGAGCTCACAGATTATGGGGTTTATTAGGGAAGCACCACAGGCTACAATTTGAGTTCAGGAAAAATGCTCAGCCTCTCTCCCAGCCCACTGTCCCTCAGCCAACAGTCTCTCACAGTCTTTTTCCCAGCAGTGCTGGTCCCTCGGTGTCTCACTCAGCAATGTGTGTCTCTTGCGTCTCTTTCCCAGCAGCACGTGTCTCTTTCAGGAGCGCGTGTCTCTTTCGGCAGACGTCTTCCTCAACGTCTGCCTCTAGGAGGCCTCCTTTTGAGCTTGGCAGAGTGGCCAAACCAACCAATCATAACGATAGAATTCTAAGCACCTGAGAGTGAGCCTCCCATAACATTGCATTGTGCCACTCCCAACAGAGATAATCCAGGTAAATAACATTTACAATCAGGAGCTCCTCAGTTGCTCATTTCACCACTGAGTTTACAATGACTTATGGGTAGAAAAGCCATACTAAGTAATTTACTACACTGCAACTGCCCATGCCATTTCAAGAATCCTTCCTGGTGTGCAGCCTTGCTTGGCTTTTTCACATGCCATTATTTATTGTGGAATATTGATATTCTCTCTGATGGCAGTGAGTTTAGATTTTTATATGGTTGTTAGTCATGTAACCAGAATCTCCAACTCCTGATTCTTTCCGTTTTATCTACCACTTCCCTTGGTCCCAGACACTAGTCCAGTGTCTTCTGAGCACCACTTGTGAGGCCGAGCCTGGAGTCAGGCCTGAGCAGCCTCCTTGCCCTTGGCTTCAGTTCCTGCTCAGACTTCGAAGAGCAGGGTGCCTCCAAATTGGAAAATGCCTTTTACTACACCACAATCATAAGGAGAAAAGAGAGTTTGAAAAAAAAATTAGAACATCATTTTCTAATCTTAGACCCTTCATAATCATACACCCCTCACCCTAAAAGCTCCATCTTTTTTGTTTAAGACTCATTTCAGAACTCCTTAGGATGTGGGTGGGTCTGGGGCAGATGGAAACTGGGGAAAGCTTTGAGCTTTCTTAGAGCATAAAGTGTGTAGAATGTGTTATCAACAAGCCATTTAGTACAATAATTTTAATGTGAATGAATCTTTATTATAGGTATTGCAACAGAATGCACTCAAAGACATTTGTATTAATTCCTTTTTGTTCTTTTGTATTTCAGATTTGATTAGTAATCCAGTATTGGCCACCTTCCCCAAGCTCTTGGAGCAGCCTGATATTATGGATGCTCTCAGGGTACGTAGCATGCCTCATAATGTAAACTTGCTGGGTTCTGAAAGAATTTAAATACCCATGTTAGTAAGATTTGATACCTGCTCTACCTTGTTTTTCGTAGTTGAATGATGCCTCCCAACCCCTGCCCATTTGTTTGGCTACCTCTGTCTCATCCTTCTAGTCTTAATGTAAATGTTGCTTTTCCCAGCTGCCTTCCCTGACCTGATAAACAGATTATTATTGTTGTTGGCTACCATTGAGTCAGCCTGATTCATGACAACCCCATGCCCCATGCTATGCCATACTAATCATGGGTTGTAAATTGGACCATTGTGATCTATAGGGTTTTCATTAGCTGATTTTTGGAAGTAGGTTGCCAGGCCTTTCTTCCTAGTCCACCTTAGTCTGGAAGCTCTGCTGAAACCTGCTCAGAATCATAGCAATATGCAAGCCTCCACTGACAGACAAGTGGTCATGATAAACAGGTTCCCCCTGTATATACTCTTGCAATCTCTTGTGCGTTGTTTGTACCTTGACTTAGGGTAGCCACTGATTTTGTCCTAAGTGCAAAAATCCAAAATGATTTGTTAGATAAACAATTCAGTTTTCAAGGGAGAGCCAGAGCATCCATATCATTTGTAACTTGATTCAATACTTACATCTGCTAGCTGGAATAATAGCTGAATATTAGATTGAATCACAAAATCTCTAGTTTTCAGCCATTTTTGACCTTCAAAAATGATCATTTCAAATGGCTCAACCTAATGTATCAAGATCAACAAATGTTAGAAGACCTATATGCCTGCAAGGCCATATACAAATAACATGACAGATAACTTGAGAGAGGTATAATAATCCAGGTCCTTGGAGGTTTAAGGGAAGAAAATGGGGGTCAGGAACCTGTTTCATTAAAGAGGTCATAGGTGATATGGACCTAATAAAAGACTAGGGGCCAAGTAGGATTTTGACAGGCAGAGGTGGAATTGAAAGACATAGGTTGAAGGATCAGCATAAGCAAACATTTTGAGACAGGAAGGAATAGTAGGTGTTCTTGAGAAGAGCAAATGGTCAAGTTTGGCACACTGGATACAAGTGTTGGAGTCCTCCAACAGATGGGAAAGGTCAGTCTGAGTCCCACTGTCAAAGGTGAAGAGTGTAGTAGGTGGCTTTTGCTTTAGGAAAATACCTGTGACCACATAGATATATGGAAAAGCTTGTGTGCAGGAGGTTAAATAAGCTTTAGCAGGTGACTCCAGTAGATAAAGAGAGAGATCATATGGGTCTAGCAGCAGGAACAGAAGGGACAAATCAATCATGTACAAAGTTTTTATTGGACTTTGAAACTGATTTCATGTGCTGGCTTGGTTGGGATAGGAGGTATCAACAGAACAATGATGTTTTCAGCAGATAGATCTAAGAAAATGGCCCTGGTATGTGATTACCCATAATTTCAGATAAATTCATTTGGCACTGTTACTAGAAAATGCAGGATTTCTTTTTTTCCCCTATAAAGCCAATAGTGTAATGTTTATTCATTATGTAAAACATACATAAGTTGATTTATTTGACAAATATTTTACAAGTGTCCACTATGGATAAGACATCATCCTAGATACTGGAATGTTTCTCTAAGTGTGTTAACATTCACAGAATATGGACATTAGTGTTAGGAGGAACCTTAAGGCTGCTGTTATTGTGGGGTGCTATCCAGTCTCTTCCAACTCATAGTAAACCCATGTGACAGAATAGAACTGCCCCATAGTGTTTTGTTTTGGTTACCTAGTGCTTCTCTGACAGGAATATACCACAAATGGAATGGCTTTAACAAACAGTTTGGAGGCTTTAAGTCTGAGCTCAAAGTGCCAGGCTCTAGGGGCTGGGTGAAAGCCCCTCAACCATGGGCTTCAGCTCTGCCTCCTGCTCCCAGCTCACTGGAGCTAGAGGCTTTTCTTCACTCAGACAGCTGCTGGCTGCTGAGGCTGACAAACCCAAGTTGTCAAGTAAAAAGGCACAGTCCCAAACAACATGGCAGGCCACTAATTCAAGTCTAGATGAAGTCCCAAGATCGACAGGGCATGGCAGGCTGTTGAACAACTACTTGGCTATATGCAGGGTTCAAGCATGCCAAAAGGCTAGAGACCATTCCCAAAGCTGTTTCTTTTATACGGGAAGCAGACTACATCCCTAAAGCAGCTACTCAGCTGCTCCAATAGATTCCACCATGGAGTTAATTACCAGTATCACCGTGGGGAATAACTACATCCAGCTGCCCAGCCACACAACCAGAATCAGCCAAGTTGACACACAAATTTAACTACCACAGGTTTCCTAAACTGTAATCTTCATGGGAGCAGATTACTAGGTCTTTTCTCCTGCAGAGCCATTGGTAGGTTCCAACCACCTACCTTTCAGTTGGCAGCTGTGAGCTTAACCATTGTGCCATCAGGGCTCTTCACCTTAAGGTTATTGTTAGCTTCTGACTCATAGCAACCCTATGTACAACAGAACGAAACACTGCCCAGTTCTGCACCATCCTCACAATCATTGCTATATTTGAGCCAATTGATGCAGCCACTACATCAATCCATCTCGTTGAGGGTCTTCCTCTTTTTCGCTGACCCTCCACTTAGCCTTATCAAACATGTTGTCCTTCTCCAGGGACTGGTCTTTCCTGATAGCCTTTCCAAAGTACATGAGACAAAGTCTCACCATCCTTGCTTCTAAGGAGCATTCTGGCTATACTTCTTCCAAGATAGATTTGTTTGTTCTTCTGGCAATCCATGGTATATTCAATATTCTTTGCCATTACCATAATTCAAAGGCATCAATTCTTCAGTATGCCGTATTCCTTAAATTTAATCTAGTCTAAATTCTTTATTTCCCTGATGAGCACACACCTCAAAGAAGTCGAGTGACCTGGTTGGCTGTGGAGCTAAGTATTGGTCAAGCCAGGCTCTCACTGAGGGTCAGCTTTGGGTGCCACAGGTTGGTCAAGAAAAGGCACATGGGTGAAGTTCATAGTATATTACTAAGTGAAGAAAAAAGAAAAAAAAAAACCTCTCAGGTATAGTAGGTATGCATGTGGGTTTATATCTGTTTGTGAAAAAATCTAGAGGAGTATTTTTCAGAAAAGTAATACTGTTTGAGGTTATTTTGTTTATCTGTATTTTCTTAATTTTTCCCCAGTGAATTATTTCCATAACAAACAATAAAAATAGAGTAATTTATTCCTACATTCTCGAGCCTTCTTTTTGTGGCATGCTGTATTACTTAGGATAAGCTAGGCTGTGCTGTGGTAGCTAACACAGGTTTATTTTGTTGAGCCCGTGTTCGGAAAGGAATGTCGACGCAAGGAAGCCACCACTTACACGATAATGCAAAAGAAAAAGGAAAGTTTATTTGCTAGCTTGAGCTAGGGTCCCTGCTATTGCCAACGTAGTGGCCTAAGCAAAAGACCTCATGCTCCATTACTATCACATTTTTATAGGAAAATATAGGGTGGAGTAGCACCAGGGCAAAGGGGTAAAGATGATTGGTTGTTGCTAAGGGGTTTAGGGCAGGGATCTGAGATGTTGGGGGACGTGTTGGAATCCCCCGGCTTCAAAGACCACTTAGGGAATTATTATCTAGGAAGGATGCAGAGTCCTGATACGTGGGAGACTTCAGGAGCAAGGCAAATCTCTGATACGTGCTGAATCCGGAGGAAATTTCGGATACCTGCTGAGTCCGGAGGATAGATAAAAGCCCTGAGGCATGGGGAGTGTTTAGAATCCCCAACATTAAAAGACTTGTTAGAAAAATTCCCGACACTAAAAGGCTTCTGGTTAAAGATTTCCCTGGAGGCTATTAGGACTCAGGCTTCACATTTCCCCCTTTTTTTGTTATGCATAAGAGGAATCATTCTCTTGTATTACAGGAGATAAA